GTACAGTGAGGCTTTCCCTCGCACCCACTCCCTCCACTGACCAGGGAGACACAAGACCGACCTGTGGCAAGAAAGGCCTCCCCAACATCTGTGTTTATACTCTGGGTGAAGCTAGCAGGCTATATTTACCCCGGTTAAACATGTCCAGGGCAGAGAGGAACACAAAGATGTAGCCTGAGACACCTACTTGGGTCTCCGAGCCTTTGTAAAAAGATAGAAACTGCACTATTATGCGGAGGAAGCGCATTTGAAGACATTTACTCACGAAGCTGTGATTTGTCCGATTCATCATCTTCCCCGAGAAGAAGAAACAGATTGGTAAACAACACCTTGAGGCTATCTGACCTCTGCGGGAGTGAGAAGAAAAAAATGGAGGCTCTGTAGATCAACTGCCTACCTAGCAAATGCCTTATGGCTGCACAGGGCATACAGCACTTACTCATTTCAGGAAACATTGGTGTGCTCCTCTCTGTGTAAATCTCTGACCTGTCTGACCTGACACGGTCATGCACGCTGACTTATGGATAAGACCCTCAGGAGAGGCCCATGCATCAAAGGCAGGGGACAGGGGGGGGTTTCTCTGCATTACAGCTGGTAGTCTGATGCTATTTCGTCTTAAACTGTAACACCTGCCCTCTGACTAATACGCGAATGGTGCAGGGCTACCGGGCTTTGTTCCAGTCACCATAGACTATATGGGACACGGGTAGGATTGTTACGATACAGGCTGTTTTAATGTCTTGCTCCATATGTTATTGATTGTTCCAGGGTAAATCGATGTTGGTATTGATGCCTTCCTGTTGCACGTGGCGAGTGTGATATGTGACTAGTTGCAGACCTGCAGCCACTCTCTATTTAAGGTGGCTCCTGGTTTTCACAAACTGTTTGCCTGATGGAGGTCCACTGGAAGTGGAATAAATCTATATTTGCAAGTTAGACAGTAATATATATATATATATATATATATATATATATATATATATATATATATTTTTTTATTTATTTATTTATATATATATATATATATAAACACACACAAACACACACACGGTATAGAGATGTCTGTCCCTGTTGATGCACCTGTTGCACATTCAGGTTCGCAGAGACATTTTCCATTTTTTTGAGGCCGTTCCTGTTCACACAGACACTGTAGCGCTATATTGGTAACATCTGAACCTCATAATTACACAGATCTCCACTACATGACAGAATTATCAAATCCAATTTCATTTTCTCTCCCTTCTTCTCTTCTCTCCACGGTTTCTGAGCCGTTGTCTCTCAGTCTCTTTCCACTGGATAACATTTTGTTTGCTTTGGAAATATGATATAGTGTTATGTTACGTTTCATTTTCATTTACCTTGGGACTATTTTAATTGATTTTATTTTCACAATTTAAAAAGTAATGCATTTGTTACTTACGTAAAACGCTTTTAAATAGCCTCCTGGATTTGTCTGTAATGTAGGTTTATTTTACAAACAAACTTGTGTTGGTTATATATTGTTTTTACTCTAGTGACTAGAGTTTCACACACGTACCCCTTGTACAGAATGACTACAGTCTAGTCATTCTGTACAAGGGGTACGTGTGTGAATGGAGTTGTATTCCTAAATAAATCAAATTGACAACATACACTTAAGTATTGTGTGGCAGGTTTAAGGAGGGCATGGTCATCTCTGGGATATTTTTTGTCTGTGGTTATAATTTATTATCAATTAAATACAAGAAAATACAATAAAACAGAAACTTTAAATAAATTGTCAACACACTTTCACCACAGTTAATCGGTGTCCTGTGGTTGTGATGCCAGGTGTGATGACACGTGGCGGTGAGCCACTCAGATTAACTGCTGACACGGGATGAACTGCGTGTGTGTCACGGTGGTTTAAAAGACAGAAAAGGAGTATAAACCATCACGCGAGGAGAGCTGTTTGAAATAAACCCCAATGGCTGAAATCCATCAGCCTAAGTTAAAAACAACACTACGGTTTAAGTCTCCTGAAAACACGCACACACACGCACACACACACGCATGCAGCTGTGCATGCTGAAACCGATCGTATCAGCTGATCGGTTTCAGGGTAACCTGAGATGTTTAGCTTATGGTTCATGATTGTGATGGCTATTGTTTCACTGAGTATGTCTGTGTGTGTTCTTCCGCATACCGTGAAAACACACAACTTGTTCCTTTCTTTTAACAATTACTTAACTAAGACGCCTCTGAGGATTAAACCTGGCAAGAGGCTTTTCGTTAATGTGAGGAACAGTGAACTTCAACCAGAGCTGGTGCCACAACTAAAACCAACAACCGATGAGTCACCTCCCCGCAGATACGGCATGGTGATTCAACTCCATGATTGCAGGCGGAATATCTCAGGTGGTCCACATTCAGCTCGCTTTGAAGACGGGCTCCTTTGTTCCCACAGCGGTTTGCAATGAAACACCCATATAAGTAGTACAAAATATGAGATGTTCCTCCAGATAAAAGACTGTGAGCAATTGATATTTGGCGCGCAGTGGAGCCAGCTGACACCCGACCGCTGGAGGTGCTTTACAACTACGTGACGTGAGCCGATAGCCGTGACGCGAGCGTGGATTAGCATTGACAAAGTGCTATTAGAAATACCAAAACCAACATGCGTATACGGATATTATGGACAAAAACTGTGTAGCAATGGTAGCAAAACATACTCTGGAGACAAATGATAAGGTATGAGCCATATTCATTAAACTCAACGCGCTTTAAAACTACGTCTCATTCACACCCATCAAAACGCTACTGGCAGGATACCAGCGGGAAAGCCTGAGCATCCAGGGGGCAATTTGGGGTTAAGTGCCTTGCGCAAGGACACATCGCCAGGTACTGGAGGCGCTAGGGGATCCAACCGCTAACCAGTAGCTCACATGCACCAACAAGCACTGACATGCACTAAAAGCAAGCACAGCCAACCCAGCTAAGTAAACAAAGCAGGGTGAAGCTCTGCAAACAATACACAGACAGGAAGGAGGACTTTATTCTCAGCTGGTTCGTTGCGAATGTTAAATACAGCTCCTTTCATTACAAAGATCGTTTTACATTGTCATTTCAAGGGCTCCGTTATTGTTGGCCATTTGCCTCGGCACTGACCGCGACGTGCAAAAAAAAAGGCGTATTACAAAGTAACTATTGCAACATCCCGCCTAACTGCATCAAGTGAATGTAAGGAGTTTAACTATGACATGTATGATAATTGCATTTGAAAATGATAGCTTCAATGAATCTTCACGATAGTCTGAACTTGTCTGCAGGTTTATAGCAGGTTTATCTGCCTTATAGCTTGGAAGTCAAAGCCTCCCGTTTTCTGTACATCCATTAATAAACTGCTTGCAGGGACATGTTGCAGCTGCTGCCACCACACCAGTGTAATAAATCACACGTAAGTACAGGCGTCCTGCAATTTATGGAATATTTCACTTTGCCAGACCGGTAGTGAGGGAGCCACAAAGTACGGCGGGAACAAAGGAGCGTATAAAGTAAGCGGGATACAACAGTGGAGGTCGGGAGCAATAAGAAGGCCTTACGGACCCATTCAAACTCTAAAATCTCACAAGAGAGCACACAGTGATCCAAGTCTCATTACAGACATGAAACTGTCATCTAAAACTGATAAGAGCGCAGGTCATGAAAGAAAACACGTCTGCTTAGATTTTTCTCATATAGTGTTGATCATTTCAAGCAAACATTCTGGAAGTTTCTTCCTGTAAACTATGAACGCAGAGCTTTACCCACACTGCTGCGATCCGCTGCCTTGCCTTTGATCAGAGGAAATTGGATTGACAATATGGATTCTCTTTTCATTATTATTCAACATTAACGTCACAGTTATGAGCTGAATCCGAAAATGACGCTGAGCAATGGGATAACCGGGGTGTTAGAGCATCATCCTTAGACCCCCCCCCACCCCCCGAAATGATTATTCCATCAGTTCCAGAAAGGAGGCAAACCAGAGTAAACGTTGCACAGAATATGTGCAGTGCTGCCACGCTCTGCTGCTCCTCCACGACAGATCCATCATGCTGATTCTCGACGTGTCATTTCCTGAGGGGGAATACAGCAGCAACAAGGGGAAGGGGGGGGGGGCTCTATGAAAGGAAGACGACACGCCGAGGCATCATCACCTCTCCATTCTGCATGCACGCTCGACTGCACGCGCATGCACCTTCCACTGTGCACACGTCTTTTGACATCTGAACAAAGTCTGCGTGTTCAACCACGATCAGCTGTCTTTTATGACCACGTTTAAAACATTAAACCAGTGGCATTTATGACTACTGCGACGCTCCTAGAAACAGGAACACATACGTCGCCCATAGAGTGCACACGGGAAGGTGTAACCCCACAGACGAGCACATCCCGCGACGAACCTCCAGCCAAGACAACTTCCGACTGCAGCCCAACTACTCAACATTCAAAGCCCGTCCAGACTAAATCGCCGGATGGCTCTGTTGCGCCCAAACAAAGCTTCCATTGTCTGGAACTTGTAGTCTTAACGTTTTCTCTTGGCCCTCAAAACTGTGATTAACTCAGGTGGCGAAGAACTACAAATGCGAAGTCCGCACGGCGCCGTGCGCATGCGCACCGGCGCCCGACCCGATCGGGGAGGTTGTGGAATATCTATTAGTTGGGGTTAATGAATTGTTGCGGGTAAGCGGCGCGTCTGCGGCCCCGGCGTCCGCTGCGTTGAGCGGCTGGAGGTCGAAGTGACGCGGCGAGCGGTGCGAACGGCTCCGGGCGGCACTCGGACCGACGGCGGCGAGCCGTAGTAAGGGAGCTCGTCCCCGGCATTGGCCGAAGTTGGTCCGCTCGGGCTGCTTCTCGGTCTTCGCTCCGCTCGCTAACCTTTACTTCGCTCGTCACTTTTTCGGCGCTTTCAATAGCTCACAGTGTTCGGCTTTTTTTTCTTTTCTAAACCAAACAGTTCTGAACATAAAAATTAAAACCCAAAAGAGTACACGCCTTACCCGACGCTGTTCCGGGTGTTTCGGCTCGGCTCCTATTCCGTTAAAACAAATCTCCAGGCGTTGTGGAAACACTCGTCGCGGCCGACGGTCGGCTGCCTGTTCACCGCGCGAGACCGTTGCCAAGAATGCTCAACCGAAACCACGCGCACTGCGCATGCGCAGCGCCGCTTGGCGCAACCCTACTGATAGTAACGCACAGAGGGGGGGCAGCAGCCCACGGCCTAGCGGGTCCGTGGACGCGTGTGGACGCCACTCAGAACATGCGTGTGCGTGTCAGGGAAATATGGTGAATTAAATGCGAAGGTTATAGGGGGGAACTACATGTAGGACAGTGCGTTTAGACGGACCAGTAAATGCATTCGGTATATTTATCATGCCGCATGGTCGCAGTTTGATTATGCATCGCACACAAATTGGTCAACAGCACAGCCTCGCGGTTACTACAGAACTATCGTGTTTGATTCATTCGTTGTTCTTGTTCACTTTCACAAATAAACATCATACGATTTCTTAAGGAGTCAAACTAGACGTTTTATATAACCAAAAGTATATAGATGGTAGTTTTGAAAGGCCATCCAAGCGATGAGTAACACCAGACCAAAACATGCAACCTATACCTATCCTGCTGTCTGCAGCTGTATTCCTCATTCATTCTGCAACGTGAATAACGAATTCGAAAAAATGGAACAATGGTAAAACATTGTTGGGAATTTACTCTTGGATGAGTGAACTAGAGAACAACGTTTTAGACACTGAACTACCTCCAAATGCTGCGTGTTTTATCATTAGGCACCAGGGGTCAGTGTGGCTTCAGATTTGATGGCTGGGAATACAACTTCTGCTACAGTAGTGTCTTTTTTTCGAGGAACACAATATCAGTATACATTTTATAATATGAATACTTATTCATCCTCCTACTTGGCATAAAGTAAAAAACCCTAGGGAGTATTTTCCCGCAAATCTGCACATGGATTTCAGGCCCAGTTTATTAGATTTACTGGTCTTCCAGTTATTTGCCTCAAACTTTCAATGTCCTTGAGCAATGCACCCAATCTCTGCAAGCTGACCTTTTTTTCCCACTCAGTATGAAACTCCCAACCAATGTATTACATCATCATATTGTAGGTAGAGACAAATAAACGATCATGCTCATCGGGCGGTGCACTGTAGTGAAGAATAAACCAACTGCGTGTTTGACCACAATCGAATTCATTCAAACTGCGCCGCAAGAATGATGTAGGTCAGCGCCAGATCCCTTTGGCAACTACACTACCCACAATGCAATAGCACTCGGTCCCCACCAGCACGGTCTAGTCTGGCTCTTACCATCAGACCATTCCTCCCCCTCCTCTTCCTCCTCATCCTCCCCCTCCTCCTCCTCCTCCGCCTCTCCTGCCCCGCGCGCTGAGCTGCACCTTCAATCTGCGCACACGTGATGGGAGTAAATACGTGCGCGGCCATCGCTGTGTTTTGTAGATCGGTGACGGCGGGAGCGCTCGTTTCTCGCGTACGCGGACCGAGCCCCGGTGTGTGTGTGTGTGTTTCTGATGGCAGAAGTCGGCGCGCGGACTGACAGCTCGGAGGGCTTCGGGATGTCTCGTCTCTCTGGTGGAACAGTCCGCTCGAACACGACCGACCGTCCGGACAGCCGGCTGAGCGGCACCGACTCGCGGTCCCGAGGGCGTGTTTAGTTCTCTCGCACAAATTGGGTGCGTCGCTGACCTGGACGGTCCTTCTTTACTCGGGTGTCCCCGCACGCCCATGCGACGATGTCCATTGCTGTCGGTGTGCAGGTTTTAGGTTCCAGCTCACGCTGATTGTTTACGTACGTAAACAGGACAGGACGGGAGACGTCAACCGGGACTGGATGAAACAACACCGCCTCTTTAGAAAATAACTGTTTCTATTCATATTATTACTTTCGTTACTATCGATATTGTCACGGTGCATTGTTATTGCGATGGTCGGGTCGGTCTATCTGGGCAGCATGGAGCCTTCCTCGTCTACTGCAGGTTAGTGCTGAAATGCCACCATGCAAACCTTCGTTGATAACATTTCGCACCTTCATGTTCTCCATCTTTCCTAAAGAAGTCGTGGACATTTAAAAAACCTTCGCTACGAGACTATCGATCGGTGATCCGACACTGCCGTGCGTGCTCTTGGAGGGGGGGGGGGGGGCAACAGGATATATAAATGCTGGCGTCCGATTACCATCTCCAGGTGAAGAACAGTTTCCTCTTTCACCCGAGGACTCGTGCCTCCAATGTAGCCCGGCCGGCCCGACTGAGCCAGGCCGCTGCGCGGAGACGGAGGCCGGGTTCGTTGCGCTCCCGCTCGGCTGGATGCTGAACATGGTGCCGCTTTACAGCTCTGCGTTGAACACACGCCCGCCGGCGTGTTTCTGTAATTTCCCAGCTGTCTTAAAAAGAAATAATGGACGGGCTTTTTTTTGCGTAAAGGCTATTCGTGGACGTTGAACCGGCTCATGCGCGCAGGATTCAGCCTGGACCGGCTCCCCGGGATGTAGGGCGAGTGTACACGCGGATATTCCTCCCTGTGATCACGGAGATGGCTGGCGGGGGAAGCGCATCTACTCTGGGATGCTTGAGAAATAACCAGGACTTGCTTGATCAGAGGTTGTCACTTAGCTCGATCACACGCTGCTGTCTTTGTTGGCAGCATTAATTGCTCATATTCCAGAGTAATATTAATCACTCTGTGGCCCTCAGAGTCAAGACACCACTCCTCAATGGGCTCATATTAACTTACGAGGTTTTGTCTTTAAAGGGACAGCATTGTGTTTGGGCACCAATTATAGGACATTATTATTAAGTATGTAACTGTGTTATTGACTCATAAAGGCAGCACTTCACCCACTCATCAGGAATCCGACAGGAAGCATCTTTCTAAAGAATTTAATTGGACCTGCTGTTTTCTGAGATAAACAAATACTCACTTCTCCTGCGAGAGTCTGTGGCAGCTCTACCAAAAAACCCAGTAGAGGAAACAATCAATAAGTTTTGGGCAGGTCACACTCATAGAGTGTCATTGTTTGACCTGATGCACATCATCCCCGAGTGAACTCGCCTTTGGGAATACATGTTACTTACCCGCTGCCTAGCAACAGCTCAGCAGCAACCGGGGACAGGATTTGGCACAGTTTCAACAGTGAGATGTGGTGATGGGGGAGAGCAGTTGCAGCTCTCTGATCCTCTGATCCCCTCTCCCCCCTCCCCACTGCTGGTGGAGGACGTCTCGTCTCTGTCAATGGGACATGTATGGATTTTGTGCTTGAGTTGACCGGGGGCAGGCCTACAGCGTCAAACAGCAGTCAGGCTGCCATGAACCCATACGGCAGAGCGAGCGGCGTGGCGGCCCCCCTGTCCTGTGCCAGCTGTGGGGGCTGCTGCTCACCGCCTCCTCCTCTCCTAATCCCGCCCGGGCCCCCCTCATCTACTACCTCCTCCATGCCCCTGAATATGACCCCGCCGCCGCCGATGTGCTCTGCCCCGGGAGGGCAGGCAGAGAACGGCAGCAGCTGGAACTCTTCCGCCATCTCCGCCTCCCCGGACTCCCACCCTGGTCACCGCTGTGGCGCCAACAACCCCAACCCCTACTGGACGGCAGTGTTCGACTACGAGGCCACGGCAGACGAGGAGTTAACCCTGCGGCGCGGGGATCTCCTTGAGGTTCTCTCCAAAGACTCTAAAGTCTCTGGGGACGAGGGTTGGTGGACGGGCAAGATCCAGGACAAGGTGGGGATCTTCCCATGTAACTACGTCACCAGGGGGGATGCCACCAACTACCGGAAGCTGACCGTAGGAGGGCTGGTTCCGGGCGGGGTCGGCGATTGCCCGTTGGAAATAGACTTCTCCGAACTGCTCCTGGATGAGGTGATTGGAGCCGGTGGGTTCGGGAAGGTGTACAAAGGAGTGTGGCGGAGAGAGGAAGTAGCAGTAAAGGCCGCCAGGCAAGACCCCGATGAGGATATTAGCGCCACAGCAGAGAGCGTGCGCCAGGAGGCCAGGCTCTTCTGGATGCTCCGGCACACCAACATAATCTCTCTGCATGGAGTCTGCCTGCAAGAACCCAACCTGTGCCTGGTAATGGAGTACGCCAGAGGGGGGGCTCTGAACCGAGCGCTCGCTGGCAAGAAGGTGCCCCCGAGGGTTCTGGTGAACTGGGCGGTCCAGGTGGCCACGGGGATGGACTACCTGCACAACCAGGCCTTCGTACCTATCATCCACAGAGACCTCAAGTCCAGCAATAGTAAGTACTGCAAACAAGGGAGGCTTATTATCAGCTTTACAGAGATGTTTCAGTCAATATCATGTGACCTAAAATATTGTAACAGGCATCATTCAGTAAACCAGTAAACCTGATATCATATGACTAAAGTGGGGCCAAAGGCGCTCGGATATTTACACAAAGAAGACTCCGATATTCTCTGTCACAGTGCATTTATAATGAACCGAGAGCTCCCCTGCTGCGTGTATCATCTAACACACACAGGAGAGGATCAATACCAGGTACATATGTCAGGCAGCACTTATGTAAAATAGTAGCACAACAAATACACAAAACACAGCTCACCTGTGGACACACCAACCGAAAACCAAAGCAGTCTAATGCAACAGTCCCGTACTATTTATACCTTCATGAAGATTACACGGTCCTGTTTTAGTTGAAGCAGGTTTAAAGAGCTGTTGTTTTAAACTACAAGGTCATATTGAAGGATGTAGTAAGGATGTATAATGTGTTGAACTGAAAGCTGTAAAAAATACATGGTCATTCTTGAGGGTAAAATAGTAATCTTCAGCTTCTTCACAACAGAACCTCATCAAATGCATTAGTGTATTTCACCTGTTCATGGCAACAGTATTTTGTTGGTTTGAAAGTCATATTGACATTTGGGCTATTTTAGGCTAATAATACGTCACAACATGTTGTCAATAGGAACAATAGATCTGTTGGGAGGAAAGCTTGGCTTTAGGTATGACTTCAGTGAGAAGAAGGCCTCCTTAAGTTCCCTCTCTGCATCCTTGTGAGATTACAAGACTCATGGAAGGAATAGTTTGACATTTTGAGAAATACACTTATTTTCAAGACCTAGATAAGAAGATTTAGTCCAGTTTCATGTCTGTATAGTAAATATGTCGCAAGAGCCAGTTTGTTTAGCTTAGCACAAAGACAACAGAAACCGCTAGCTTTGCCCTTTCCAAAGTTAATCTACCTGCAGCTCCTGAAGGTCACTAATCAAGACGTTTCAGCTTTTCCTTCGGACTTTTTATGGTCTGGTTGCTTTGAGTCCGGTTCACAGATGCTGGTTGAAAGATTTTGTTTCAACATTAACTGTTTCCTCCCATATCCAGTTTTTGTGCTAAGCTAAGCTAACTCCTACAGTAGGATCTCCTGGGTTTAGCGGTAGTGATCTTCTCTCACTTCTCGCGTTAACGTCCTATAAAATGGGAAAGCCTTTCCCCTTCAGCGGAGATTCATTATTTTACAGTACTTAGACTGAAAAATGAAATAAGAAAAAAGCGTCTACAAGTAACAAATGAACCATTGAAAAAGAGGATGTTGTTATGTGTTGTATTGATTAACTCTCCTACTTGTAAAAATGTATATTGACTTGTTGTATTTTCTTTCTTTGGCCTGCATTAAATCCACCAGGTCAAATGAGTGGACAACCGTTACAAGTCATTCCTCCTTCTCGCAATCCTTTCATGACTTGACAAAATGTGATTATCAAGGGTTGTCATTGAATATTAACGTACAGATGTTTTTTTTTCTGCGACGCAATGGAGAAAGTTAAATTGAACCCAGCAGGAAGGCCTAAGTCCTGGAGAGCTGGTCTCTTTCTGCCATCTTTTCCCTGTCATCTCTTTCTGCACCTCCTCCTACTCCTCATCATCCTCCTCTTTCCTCCCCTCCTCAAGGAGAGCAGTTCTGCTCTGCAACTCACTGGGCTATTTTTGGTCCTTTGTGCTACTTGCTCTTTAAAGACGCAGTGGCAGTTGTTGGTGCATCAAAGAAATAACACACAGTGAGCATCTAGGGGCATTTTATGTGTGTGTGTGTGTGTGTGTGTGTGTGTGTGTGCGTGTGTGTTTATCTCCAGTGCCGTGAGTGATGGGGGGAGGGGAGAGCGTGCACAAATACCGGGGGGGGGGGGGGGGGGGGAGTCTGCGGGATGCTGACTAAAGGCCTGTTAAAAAGGGAGGCAGGCTGAGAGTAAGTGTAGCTTTAACACTCGCTGCTTCATCTTCCAAGATATTTCCTTTTCTTCAATCCTTTACACGGTCTTCTTGAGTCTCCATGACCCCCACCCCCCTTTGCCCGTGTGACTCAGTAACAGTAAATGATGGAGGATCAGACGCGTATTGGACAGCGGAGCCTTAGCAACAACGCCATAGCTCTGCCTTTCCATGGTGACATGGCCACTGCTTCTGTGTCACTGAGTCATACAGCTGCTAGCCGCTGTCAGCTGCTGCACAAAACGTCAGTCCCCCCAATTTAGAGCATTGTTGCTGAAAATAGCAAACCCGAAAAAGTGCAGGAATGTCTTATGAAGGGCTCGGGAGGCTGTTTTCCGCCCCCGAATGATGTGTGAAAACGTGTGGGTACTAGTCACTAAGTATGTGATTAAACTGTGACTCACGGCCTGTACCGAGGGATGCTTGCAGTAGCCTGGTTACCAGAAGGGTGAAGCATGGAGAGAAAGTGAGAGGAAGAGACAACGAGTGAAAGCGTCGGGAGAATAACACGGTGGAATAGATCGGGGTGTGGAGTTGAAAAGACGTTTGAGGACCAGACAGAGCGGAGATGTATGTTGCGAAGAGAGGCGACTGATGGGAAAGAACAAGTGAAGGAGCGCGCAGGGGATAAACAACGCTTCATCTCAGTTTTGAGTTACACCTCAGCTCATTGTCCTGGTGCGCCGGTCTCAGGTGTCCTCTTCAAACTAACGACCGCTTGGCATCAACCGCGGTTACAGAGCAGCTCAGGCCCCCGAGCCTCTCCCCGGCCTTCCATCAGCCGGCTTCTGCACTCCGTGAAATCACAATCTCACAGTGAGATAAAGACTCTAATCTTCATTCTCCCTCAGAATAACACATCGAGGCAAAACGTGACACTACTCATAGACTCTGTATGTCTGAAGCTTTGCTAACATTTTACAACAAAGGGATGTTTTGTTCTATTTTTGGCTCCCGGACTCTCATTTTATTACAGCAGTTGAATATTTTATAAGCTGTGTTCTTGCGAACATGGGAGAGTTTATTGTGGTGTTGTTGTTAGGTTAAGGCCCACGATCGCGAGGGAGTCTGTGTGACGGGGATAATCTGATTACCGTGACCTCCTTAAAGCGATGTCACAGCATGTTTGTGGGTTGGCAGGTCATGGCCCCTGTGGTCAGGCCTTACCAGTCACTCTGATCCTGGATCGGCCTCCAGTCTCTGAAAGCATCAGGCACCAGTCCTCTTTGATTGGCTCGGTTGACACAAAAGCGTTAAAGTAGAAAACAATGGAGAGATCCAGTGGTCTTGATCACGTTATACGTTATAGTGAGACAGAAGGCTGCAAGTTTCATCCACGATTAGGCTGTTGTTTATTTTTTTTGATAAAACAAATAATTGTCTATTTTTTAAAATGATGAAGATCAGTTTAATATCACAGTAAGAAAAGATAACGATGTGAGAATTTTTTTTGTAATTTCTGTTTATAAAATTGGAGAAAAAAAATTCAGATTAATTTAGTCGATTGACTAACTAATCATCTAATGAATTCGGATCCGGATGATATTACATATTGATTTTGTCTAATGTTATATCTTATCATAACTAGTGTTACTTTTTAAAATAATTGCAGGGCTACATAATAATTCATTTCATGAACTAAAAGTAAGTAGTTGAGGTTAATTAATATCACTGACACGAGCGTGGCGGAGCCAAATGCAGCACAACGGCACGGAGTGTTTGGTCACCCTCTATCAAAGGCAATCATTGTTTAGCAGCAGGGGTCCTCGCCACACTCAAAAGGCAAATTTAGCACACAGCAAGTGTGTTGACTCACTGCCACGTCTCATATTGCAGATCAACTGGTGTATTTGATAAAAGTTTTTACTGTCACGGTGTGGTTCACTTCCTGTCTTATGTTGTAGTTTTCTGCCACTCGTGTCCCCGGGTAACTTCACTTCCTGCCTTGTCCCGTCATCCTCTGTGATCGTCTAATAGTTTCCACCTGTGTCCAATCACCTGCACCTCCCTTGTGTATTTAAGCCGTGTGTCTCCTGTGTCACTTGTCGCGTCATTCTGTCAGGGTTGAGGGTGGAAGGCAGGACTCAAACGCAGACTTGTCGAAAACAAAAAGACTTTAATAGTCCAAAGGCCAAAAGCAAAGTCCAAGGGGCAAAAACAGACAGGATCCAGGGGAAAAACAGCAGGCAGGAAACTCCGCGACGAAAGACAAGGACATGTGTGGCAAAAGACAATGACGCGACAAGTGACACAGGAGACACACGGCTTAAATACACAAGGGAGGTGCAGGTGATTGGACACAGGTGGAAACTATTAGACGATCACAGAGGATGACGGGACAAGGCAGGAAGTGAAGTTACCCGGGGACACGAGTGGCAGAAAACTACAAAATAAGACAGGAAGTGAACCACACCGTGACAATCACTGATATATATATATATATATATATATATTCATATATATACGAGTTTCATATAAATATATAGTTATATCAAACTATATATTAAGTATAATGTCAAGATCTTTAAAATATCTTATACACATATAATAACCTAAAGATATACACATATATATATCTTTATTTGTTTATATAGATATATTATTTATTTGATACTCTCAGGGTCATATTCCAAAAAGCACCAATCCTAATAGAAATGTTGTTTTAGTCAAATATTTTGCTACCTACTTATCGTTTAAGATAAAAGGTCATAGAAGAACGTATTTATCTATAGTTTATTAATAAGTGGTGTAGATATTACGAGAGAGCATCTTTAAATATACTTCTGTACATTTAATCCCAAGTGTATGAGAAGTCTTCGATGAATACTTCCATAGTAAAATACTTAATCTGCTGATTGTATAATGCAGTCTAAAGCTTAGAAAAAGCCAGTAGGAGGACCGTGAGTTAATCTGCTTCATTACCACTGCCACGATGTGAGACGGTCACGGTTCCTTGTCTCGGTCGGGCCTGTTGTTTACGTCATTGACACTTTATCCAAAGCTCTCTGGAGG